TCGGGTAAGGCATTTTCGACGCGAAACTTGTTTCCAAGTGTGTACACAACTGATTTACAAAGTGTGAAGAAATTGAAAACTATGCAGATTTCAAGACGTGTCTGTGGTTTCTTTGGATACTCACAATATTCCAAAAATACATAAACATTTATATCACTAAAAACATGTGCGGGCAGAAATCCAGAGAAACCTTGGAAGCCTTTGATGATGTGAGAGGTGTCAGTGTGATTGTTCGATGTCCAATTAATACAAATATAAAACAATGAAACAGTCTAAATTTTGGATGAAGAATTGTAATATATTTAATTGTGTTATTTGGCCTATTATCCTGCTATTGTAGTCGGCTCTGATTGTGTCATTGCTTACGGCACAGCTGACATCATGCAACATCTGTGCTTAAACAAAAGCATGTTCTGATAAGATACATCACAAATCATAAATAAAAATGTTCAGAAAACCCTAAATATTAATTTCGATTTTTTTCTTTTAGGTTGACACTTTAAACCTGTTTCCTTCGTTGACGTTACTAAAAACTTAGAAAATACTGTTAAAGAAAAAAAACTTCCAAGTCCGAATAATGATGTTGCATCTGCAAACAACAAATTGCAACCGCCAACGGCGGAGGCACTCACGTGCGGGCGCAGCCAGGCTGCAGCGACGGCGCGTTCGCAGAGCACGTGCCAGCGCGCGGGGAAGTCTTCATCCACGAAGAGCGCGGGCGGTCCTGGCTTCTTGGCGCACGCGCACTCGCACGTGCAGCAGCCGGCCGCCTGCGCGCCGCCCGCCTCACACGCTGCGCCCGCGGAAGCCATCGCCGAGCGACTGCGCGCGGACTTGCTCGCACGGCTCTTTATGCTTTCTGCCTTCCCCTCCCAGGCGATCCGCCGCCGTATTGCATCATCCTGCGCCTACAAGACCGCTTCCTCCTCGACCTATTTCTGTCTTCCCTCTCCCCTCTTTTACGGTTTCATCTCCGGGAGAGGTGGCTCAGGGCATCAACTGATGTCACTGCAGTGCCCCTGACCGGGAGGTCCTAGGTTCGGTCCCGGTTGGTGGCAGGAAATTCGACACAAGTTTGTCAGGTCGAATTCAGTTGCTGTCTGGAGGAGAATTCTAGCGGCTGGTTGGTCTTATCCGTTATTTCTGTGGTTTCTCCGATCAACACCAGGTGAATGCCGGTGCTGTACCCTAACAAGCGGATCAGAGTCTGCGCGTTATCTTTCCTTCCTCTGACTTGTCCTGTCCTCACCGGACTCACACTAACATGCACTACACTACCACATGTGCCGGAAGACCGATCGGGAGCTTCGAGCTTGTCCCGGGTCGGGCGGCGTCCTGCTGGTGGGAGATACCTTGTTGAGAAACCCCCCGCAAGCTGAAGGTAGCACGGCCGAGGATCTAGTCACCAAGTGGTGAAAGACCACAGCCAATTTCAGACGGAACTGCACTTTGTTCTACGGCGTCATTGGGAAAAACGGGAACTGCACTTTGGAGACTAACGACGTTAGCAGTTATCGCGCCCGGATCACCAACAATCAATCATTCAGTCATTTTCATCCAGCTGTTTGTTTTCCTCGTCCCCCACATTTTCTTCTCCTGATGGCTTCTCGTTGTCGTCCTGCGTTTCATCCCCTTTGATTTTCTCCAACTTTTCTATCTCTTTTGACTTTCTTCAAGCTTTAATCATGTTTTTCTCCTGCTTCTTTTCCCCCAAAACTTTCTCCATAACCCCTTTCCTTTCCATGAATCTCCTACGCCTTCTCTCTTTTCTACTTGTTCCTTGTTCTTATTGATCTTACATTTTCTTTTGCTTTTTTCTAATCGATCTCCTTCCTTTTTCAGTTAACCTTCATCTTTTGTTTCCTTTTTTGTTCCTCTTGCCTTTTTTTATCCTCTCCCATTGCCTCACCCAAAGTCACTGTGGGGCCACGACAGTAGTGGGTGATATAGCGAGGAAAGTGACGCCGTAGAACAAAGAAGGTATTTCTATGGTGGAACATATTTTTATGGTTACGATCACTTCTCTGTGGTAACGCGCTTTCCGCGAATGGAGGGGAATGAGAGAGTCTCTTCTCTTCGCGTCCTGTAGCGATTTGCGTCAGTATAATGCGGAGAAATCTGAAGAGGAAAGTATATGTTTGAATGCTCCATGTGTAATCTGTACTTAATCAGCCTTCTGTATTCCCATAATGTATTCAGTTTTTGGTAAAACAATAAAAAACCTGTAAAGCATTTGAATTAATTTAATTATTCGGATATCTAATTTCCAAAACATTACATTGATATTATTGGGTATAATTCCCTTATTCTTTACTTCCTCATAGATCTGACATTCTTACAGATTAAAGAAAACCCTCGTTTCTAGAGCCATGGCTTGTTGGCACTTTTTATCACTTGGCGCCAAAGTCTGGGAAACGACGAAAACTTGATTGTGATGGGTGTCATTGACTCTGAAGCTGAGGTGCAATACTTATGATAGGTACATCTTGTCTTTTAGAGAAAAACAGCACAAATGGTAATTAATACATTACATTTTATTGTTAAAACAATAAATACAAAAATATTATTTTCCTTTTTTATCTCTATTTGTATATAAACAGTTATGTAGCAAAAAAAGTTTCAACACCAACATTTTATACAATCTCTTATGGCACCGAAAATCGTACAGAAAGCTGAGGAATAAAAAAAAACAGTACAATAAAATAACATACGTCATAAAGAATTGTTTGGGGAAATGTATTTAATGATTCGGTGTATCTTTTGGTAAAGGCAAGATTGTTGAAATTGTTAAGATTTGAAATTTCAACGAAAGAGTTTGGATACAGTAACAACGATGCACAAATTATTTCAATTACAATAAATACGTAAAACACGACATTCAATAATACACGAAAGTCTACATTGCTTACTACAAGTGAAATAAAATTATTTGTAAGATATTTGATATAGGAATCATTGGGCACAGTTTAGAATGCAGTTGACCAGATGACAAATATATTTTTTGTTGATGCTATATTTCACAATGATATGTGATTTTCTCTTTTAAAGAAATGAAATGAAACACTTAACAGAAAAACAACACATTGATAATACGAGGGATTGGTTCATCAGATCAGCAAGTTCAGCAAAGCATCAAGCAAGTTCTTTGTTTTATATATAAACATCATAACGTTCTCATGATTTCCACGTCTACTTCGCAAAATACAAGTCTTTGCTAAAAAATCCTTTGGCAGGCTAAAATCATGAATCATGGTAAGGATAATTCGAATTGCTCGTATACACAAACAACGTGTACAGTACGACCATTTCAGCTAGAAACATTGTAGAGAATGTTGTTTTATAATATAATGATAGAAATGTGAACGATGGTGTCATCAGTGTTCAGTTTCAATAAATATTTTTCGAGAATTGTGGTTTATCTCAGCAAGGACCAAAATTTCAATACGATGTTTGCTTCCTCAACTTCCTACTAAGAAAAAAATAATCGGCTAAAGAACAATTGGCTGCTTTAATTGATTTTCTGGATTATTTGTTAAAGACTTGTACACCTGTCATTACACACCCGCAAACTCCGGCTAACATTGGGCACTCGCTTCGAAGAACTTCAGCCACGATGATGGTTGATCATGGAGGTGATTCAATCTCTTTAAATCGCCTCGGAGGATGGCATTCATTTACTGTCGCAGAACAGTACATTGAGAAGTCGGTGGGTGAGATTGAACTTATCAAGAGGTGCGACAGCAAATGCAGGGGTATATTCTGAAACTGTGAGTAAAAATGAAACAACAGGTCCTAGAAATCCTGAGTTCTCTTTCACCATGTTTCAAAAAGTGCTTAATAATTAATTGCAATAACTTTAAGCACAAATTATGGGAAAACTACCACTTTATTCAAGAACTTGTTTCTGACATTTTTTAAAGAACTAATGTTTGAGAGTAGATTTCATTTACAAAATTCTACCAATATTTTACTTTTGCTATATAATGTTTTGCAATTTTCGAGAAATCGCAAAGTTTGTAAAAAATGGGATCAGCTGCAACTATTTTTACAAGTATTATTCTTCGGTACATACAAGGAAAAAAATTAAGGAATAAATTAAGCCGTTTTGAGATATTTTAATTGCTTAAAACTCACCCAAATTACGTAAAAACTACTAAAATATTGGAAAAAATTGTAGATACTTATTGTACGATCTATCTTTAAAATAAAAATCTCTATCTTCGATATTGTAGTCGTAGGAAGACAAAAATTGGCAGGCAGGCGGCTAGACACGCTTTTGCCGTCATTCAATTTTTCGGTATCAGGACCCACAAAACGTAGATTTAGTCTTCTCAGTGTGATAGAAAAAGTAATTTATGGGAACGAGGCTTATCAACTAATAGGACTTGACAATAATACTTTTTCAGACGAAAAATAGTCCCCCGCATGATTACAATACCTTTTTACTCTAGAAGAACAAGCGAAAAAGTTAAATGGCTTCCCTCCCAGCATGTGACTTTGTTATGAGAAGGACCTCGTGTTTACTTCCCAGCATGCCTATGGGAGAATCATTTGAATATAATTGTAGTACACACATGTGTGTTTTAATGATATCTTTTATTACTGAATGCTCTATTACAGATATTGTAACACAATATTATTGTATAAGTCTTCTTACAAAATGAATATAGAAAGTACAAAATACAAATACAACTATAATATTTATATCATACTAGATATTAATTCTAACAGTTTTTGAAAGTTCTTCTTAAAAAAAAAATGCTTGTCTTTCCCGCGTTTCTGCATTACGTGTGTATGTGAAAGAGAACGAGTTAGTTATAGTAACAAGAGAAGGAAGGGTATTGTCGTGACGTGTGTGTCGGAGATGCAGCAAGAAAGCGAGACGGATGATCGTACGAAGGTCCAAAATAAGTAATGAATGAGAATAAGAAACGTGTGTATGAGTGTACAAGTGAGAGGCGAATGAGGTATGTATCGGTGCGCGCACGCTCGTGTATTAGGGAGAAGAGCTTAAGAGAAAAGCTTGTGTGTGTGTATTGAGAGAGAAGTGGCGTTGTTCACGTCGCGGTTGTTGGTTGTGGGGCGGGCGTAGGCGCGGGCGGCAGCTGGGAGAGGCGCACGCGCGCGCAGCGGGAGAAGACGCGCAGCAGGAAGTGGCCCTCCTGGCCCGCGCGCTCCGTGGCCGGGATGACGACGTAGCGCCGGCCAGGCCGCAGGCGAAGGCGCGCGCTCACCGCCACCTCGCGCATCAGCTTCGTCGAGCCCTCCACGCGCTCCAGGGCGCGCAGCTGCTCCGCCGACAGGCGCTGCTCGCCGCTCCCCTGCGCACACACACAACCCCGCGCGTGCTCACAAGCCGCTCAGGCGCCGCTGGCGTCGCCAGGCAGCGCAACCCAAGCAATAGCAGTAGTAATGAGAACACTTAAAAAGGGAAACATGGAGAGTCGAAAAATAGAATACACATCTTTAGTTAGGCCGATTCTTGAATAAGCATCAGCTGGATGGGACCCATACAGATTAGTTTAGGTTGAAGAGTTAGAAAAAATTCAAAAGAAAGCAATCAAATTCATAAATAAGGGATCTTCGAGTAGTTCAAATCCACCAAAAACCTATAGAGGCCCTCAGTGTGCGAAGAAAAAAAGCCAGATTGTGCTGCCTCTTCAAGGCGTACAGTAAGTCACCTGCATGGGCAGAAATAACGAAAACACTAGACTCCCCTTCAAGAGTTGGGAGAAACGATCACAAATGCAAAATAAAAAGTAGATACCAGAGATCCGACGTAGGGAAATATTCATTTGTAAATCGTACGGTTAAAAATTGGAATGAAATCCCTGCAGCGGTCGTAGAGCCTTTTCCTGGCTCTGTTGGTGTTTTTAGAAGACGACTTAATAAGTACTTGTAGAGGATGTATTTTACCGCACAGCTCAGAATACACAATTTGTAGATTATTATAGATAAAATGTAGTGTAGTGTAGTGCAGTGCAGTGGAAAGCTACTTTATATATATATATATATATATATATATATATATATATATATATGTGTGTGTGTGTGTGTTTGTGTGTGTGTATGGGTGTATATATGTGTCATAGATGTATACAGGTCTGTGTATGTTTATATATTGAGTGTATATGCTCGAAAAAAGTGTATTGTAAATTGTTTTTATATGGCATTCTAAATTGTTTTTGAATTATAAATGTTCATATATTTTAAAACTGTAGGGTTGTGGCTAACACCTGGCAATCAGCCAATTGTAGCCAAATAAATATTATTATTATTTATTATTAATTGAATAAAAAGTAGCACTCGGACCGATCTACCCAGGCAGTGAAACCCCGACGGCGCAACCCAGGAAACTCAGGTCACACGGGCTGAGCCACCCAGGCAGCGCAACCCTGGCAGGGCAACCTAGGTAGCACGACACGGCTGAACCACCCATACAGCGCAACCGCGGCTGAGAAACTCAGGCAACGACACATAGGCTGAGCCATCTAAGCTGCGCAACTCAATCAGCAGCACATGTGCAGAGCCATCAAGGCAATGAAACCCCGACGGCGCAACCCATGCAACGCCGCAATGGCTGAACCACCCAGACAACCCGACTGCCAACCCAGGCAGCGCCAAAGGCTGAGCTACTCAAGCAGAGGATCCTCAGCTGCGCAACTTCGATGGCGCAACTCTGGAATGGCAATTTCGGGTGAGTTGTAGGGATTGCGCCATTCAGGCAGCGCTAAGCAGTCTGCACAACCCAGGCGGCGCCACTAAGGTTCCATTGCTCGGAGCGCGCCACCCCTGCTGCGCAACCCTAGCTACACCTCCCGAACTTCGCCTTCTGTTCTTGGCCACCTAGGTGACGTCGGTTTACGTGACCTGATTTGCTCTACCCGGTTACCATCTCGTCTGTACCATATGGCTTTCGTTACTAGATTTTTGACTGTTACTACACGGTACAGCGGCAACCTTTTGAAAATCAGATAGGCTTAGATCGCTCAAGGGATATCGATTTTGGAGAAAATAGGCTGAACGGTTTCTAGCTGGTAGCGTTGTCCACTGACAGAGGTTTTACAGTCAATCGATTTTCGGTTTTAAAGATCCACTAAACATGGATTCTGGATACACAACGTGTTAGAGCATGTATGCATATGTTCAGCTAAGGTTTTATGAATTTTTTTGTTACCAGGGCCCAGCAATAAGAGTTTTTCTACCGAAAATTCGCAGTTTTTACCCCGCACCATTTCATAACCTACGAGTATATACATATATATTTCAGAGAAAAAATAGTCAAATAATTTGTGAAATTTAGAAATTACCTCAAATACGTAAAAAGCAATGTTCATCCAATCTTGAGAATTCTTTCGTCGGTGGCCTCTCACCAACTCGACAATCGCCTCCATACCTTCCATTGGGTTCTCAACGTGGCCAGCTTCTGAAAAATATGTTTATGCAATGCACACTTTCGGCTGTTATATGTTTATTTCTTGCAAGAGTATATTATTTTAATTTTGACAAATGGGTGTCCGTTAATGACACCCATATGTCAAAATTAACACATTATGTGTTATGAGTGTGTTGCATTTTGATTTTTAGCTTTATATTATTAAACCATCTGGTTTGTATTATTCAACTTTAATTGCATTCTAGCTTTAGTAATTTATTCTTTAAATACTTTTCTGAGCTTAAAAAATAATCGTAAGATAATTAACATTAAATAAATTTAATATTTTCGCCCATTTATTTCCAAATCGTATATGAAGTCACATGTTGGTCACTCATACTTACCCGCATCACAGCCTAAAGAAACTAAGGAGAACTGAGGATTTTTGGCAAATGTTTCTATTTCGGTATGGTCACCCCCTACCTCTTGATCCTTGCTCCAACAACCTGTAATCTGCCCGACCTGCGGCACAAGAACACTCGTATGGAAATATTGTTAATTTTCCCCCTAGTATCATCAGACGTAAACACTTACCACTTTCATTTCTTCTGCCCCCACGGGCTGCTGTGTACCTATCACGACTTCTTCAAAATTGTTTTTGAAGTCCTCCATACTCATCCAGAATTCGCCATTGTCCTGTGGATTATATTCGATAATTTCTTTCTCTTCTTTACTGAGTTTTGCCCATCGTTCATCACTGAAAATTCAGAAGGTCTGAATGAGAGAGTATTATGCAGGATGCTAACAATTACACTCCTAAACTCTGCAGATGAGTCATGTCGTTCTATAAAAAACACATCTGCTTGTGGCAACTACTATGGTCATTGATCCGTTTTGAGTAGTGACGTTAAAGAAAGTTGGCTGTCTAGATCCTGAGATTCGGCGCGGAGTCGCAAGTTGTTTGTTTCCCACATCCAGGCATCTCCTCCAGTGGAGCACCGCACCAGCCGGGTCAGTCTCTCGTTTGATAATGCAGTGGATGTAAGTGTGTGTGTGTGTGAATGAGTGTGAAATGTGTGAAAGGGGAGATAATGGGACAAGGATGTGGAAGGAAAGATTGGGCGCGGTCATTTGTCCGATTTCTAGGGAACTGTTGCAGCATTTACCTGATATTGATAGAGAAATCCACAACCGTCAGAGCAAGTAGCCAGTAGAATTCTTCTCCAGAAAATATTTGAATTCGTCACACGCAAAATTTCTATTGCGTATATTGCATTGCACATTTCAAATATGTTAGTTATTCTGAATAATTTAGTCTTAGTTTACAAAGGGGAATTCAGTTTTAACATTTTTATTTGACACCTAACAAACTGACGACAATTAGGACAAAATAAAAAATGTAAATTGGGTTTTAGGTTGAAAATAAACGAGAAAATACAAAGAGACAAAACAAAAAAGATTATTACGTTTTTTCACTAAGAATTCAAGGATATCTGTAAATTTGAAGAAATGAGCGGATCTGATGAATAATGTTTTCACATCATTATTGTATGATAAGTTCAAATTTCTCTTCAGTTTTATTTTTTTCAAATTATTATTATTATTATTATTATTATTATTATTATTATTATTATTATTATTATCAACGTTTATATATTATTATATATATATTTATATATTATATATTATTACCATCGTCAACGTATAGTCATATCCTAGTCCTGTCATTTTCCAGATCTTCTCAATGCAACTCACAGAAGAACATACTGTGGAACGGAGTGCATCACGCAAAAACCGTCGTTTCCTTACTCTACAATATAAGCACACTTGACGAATAAGATTCTGATACTCGAAAATTCACTTTTTGTACCCATTAGAATTTTTAGAGTATGTTAAATATTAGAATTTCCTAACATATGGAGCCGAAAGCTATAGCTAAAGTAATGCGCATGACGACCGAGACTTACCCATCTTTCCAAGGCCCTCCATTCCATTTATCGTGCGATCCCCACGGGTTTCGTACGCGGATCAGCTGCAGTACATCTTCTCCTTTCTGGGGATCTCGTTGATACACTTTGGTAACAGTGTACGCATGGGGAGCCGGAAGACCTGCCCCGGATTGCTGAAAAGATATTTAATCGGTACTACGACATTTCTTATTCACAATTTTTATAATGTTGTAAAAAAATTGTTTTAACGTACGTATTTGGCGCATACAATAAGATGTCCATTATCAAATGCATGTTTGAGCCTCAGGAAATTTTCATCAGTGTTCCATACGTTCCAGTGCTCCATCTTCAAAACCTGCATTGAGTATCCTGTCAGATTTATCGGGCCTTCTGAGAGCCATCCACCTTCGATCACGCCAAAGTGTTTATGAAATCTGTGAGAAAATATCAAATATTGTTTAATCTTCATAACACATTCTGACGTCCTTGTGGAACTCCTAGCCTTCAGTGCGATGGAATTTGGGACAGACTCACTTGGCGAAGGCCTTCTCGAGCAGGGGCAGCCAGAACTCGTCCTTGTGCTGACAGCGCGCGTACACGGGCACCCCGTGTGCGTCGACGGGCAGGCGGTCGTCCACGCGTACCTCCACCCACTCGCCCAGGTGCCACAGGCGGAAGCGCACCGACCCGTCGTAGCCCGGCCCGAACAGCACCTGGCCCTCGGGAATCACCTGCGCAGCCGTCGCCTCCACTCGCACCGTTTTCGTCTTTTGCACGTGATTTCGTGGTCTCTCAGCGGAGGAGAGAGCAAGGATTATATATTGGAATAGTACAGTGGGAGGCGACACAATTTTGATCACATTGAGTTAGTGAAAATAATAAGTTTCTACATGTTTATTAATATAGTTCCTTTTATTAATTCACCGTATGATACAAAATTAAAACAGGAAAATCTGTCTAATACACTTCTCCGATGAGCGGCAACTTTCATTAACTATAATTTTCGTGGAACGAATTTATTTTCTATATGACACATCTATATTGAATATTCCCTCTTTATACCGGCTATCTGGCTTCTCGGAGTGCGGCCAGGCAAATTTAATAGATTAGCAAGTATTAAACGATCACCTCTGGGAATTTTGAACTTAAATGGCAAATCATGACGTTGGGGATAACGGTTCATTCATTTCCTTCCTGCGACGGGACGCAGTGTCAGATTACTTTGGAAATCTCGCATTGCTTATGTTGCCTATATGCTACGATAGCAAATATTTTGCTTTTTCCGGTACACATCATTTTCAATAAACTTTGCTAACCCTAGCTTCGACTCTGTAAGATTTTGTCAAGGAGTTGAGGAGCACGCCTTCGGTCTCTTCGTTTTGTCTGATCACTCTTCGCAAATAGAAGAATGAAATAGCAAAAAAACAAAAACAAAAAGTGACTAGAACCTTCAAGTTTAATTTGGAATTCACTTCGGATTGTACGTGAAGTGAATTTCTCGAATAAGACAATGAGTATAAAACCAGACTGTGTTTACCACTAGCCTATAAGAGACTAGTGAACTCATATGTCGTATTGCAGTTTACGTTAATTAAAACGATTTTCAGGTAATCATATATTTCTTCGATAGCAATAAACACAATTCCACTTGGTGCACGCTTCTTGTTACGTCTCAGTCTCATTTAAGCGGACACAGATTCACAGCCTAATTTAGTCAGAACCATTAGAGATTGCTTAATACATGTTTAATGTATTTTGGGTTGTGTGGAATCATTCGTGAGAATACTAAATGTCTATGTATTTGGACGCGGGACGGCTACAAATGCAAGAGCAACAAATGTACCCGCGTGCAAAGGCGACCCGGGGGCCACGGCAACACGAGACACGAGGCAACGTGACGTTGAAGTTGTCGAAGTCACTAACACTTCATGACGTCAACGGATCCTAGGCACGTCGTGGAATGAGCGACATGTCAGCTAACCGCCACTTTCTGCACTTGAGAGTCATCCCCACGCCGGAATTATATTTGTGTGAATGGCATTTTCGAAGCTGATGGCATTAAACTCAAAAGCGATTTCTCGTTATTAGGATGCAAAAATGTGGCGTGTGGACTTTTTAAAAATTTGCTCCACAGTTTGCAGTTGAAATTGATATATACCTTTATAATTTCAATCAGAATGAATTGGCTTCAGATCTAATAACTAAAATATCGATTACATTTTGGAACATGTGTATTAAGTTTGATAGGAATTTTTCTCGGTCATACCCAAGTTTTGTCAAACCTCCTTCAATTACTATATCATTATCTGTGTCCAACTGTTTCTTTCAGGAAAGAAATCAAATCTTAGAAGTGGTCTCTGATCGCAATTTGAAATGCTCTGTCCTCAGTTCTCGAACTACCTTCTGTACATTAATTTGCAATGAAAATACGTGATAACAAAATGATAATACGTGATGATAAATGACAAATTCCCAGCATTAATTAATCTACATTCTATTTAATAAACGTTTTTAATAACTGTTTGGATACTTTCTGTGTGTCTTTGTATCTCGATTCGCAAAAAACAACAACAACAATTAATAGAGCAATTGCAGAAGTAGAAGTGAGCACAAATTAGACTGAGTTTGTAAAGTTTCAATCTCTTCAAAAATTAGGGCAGAAAAATATGGAAATATTAAGGAAATGCTGGGAATCATAAAATGTAGTTGTTATAGAAGAGGTTGCGATAGAATTTTAGGAACTAATTGGGAATGATTTGCATTTTTGCATTTAGCATTTGTAGTAATGCAAATGTGGTACGTGCATTTCTGTGCATATTAGCAAAATAGCAAAAAAATGTAGTTGTACTAAAATTTAACTATTAGCATCATCAAAAACTACAAGTAATTGTTTCAGCGATTATAATTATGAAGTATATAATTATGAATCAATAAGACCAGTTCACATCCTGTGTACAGAGGATAACATACAAGGTCATTGGGTGTTGGGAACTTTTGAACGGGAGTATTAGATTATCAGCTACTATGATGCAGTGGTAAGTCAAATGCCAGATACTGAAAAAACATATTTGAGATAATCTGGGCAAAGAAAGAAATATTATGAAATAAAGTTTCAGTATTGAACGTAAAATGCGATATAATTAGTAGTTTTTGCGGGTGGTCCTACATTGGTTCATGAATCTTTTCCCTTGCTCTTATACTCGACAGAGTTAAACGTTTGCTATTTTCGAAAATTCTCATTTGAACAGAATCGGACTTTAGGAAAGTAATCTGATCTGTACATATTCGAACAGGAAAATTAAAGGAAACGGAAAGGCGGGCTACTACGAGGAGGAGGACGACGAGTGGGCGGGGCTTGAAGAGGTTTGCCGAGGGCGTACCTGCTGGAGGATATGATCGCATTCCGCCACAGCAGCGCAGGCTGCCATGAACCAACAGTCGCCGATGTAGCCTTGCTGGACAGCAAACCTACTACAGCCGTCCTTCACGAGGCGTGGCTCGGCGCACAGCTCCTGCAAGAGGGTATACATGGATGGGTGAGACTGGCTCATCTCTACATTGGCTTGACCGGCCACTTCCTATCAATTGATGGGCTTGGGAAAATTAGAAGAAAAGCTACACCTGCCACACTAAGCCTGCCGCTATTTGGAAATGTTATTTCCATTTGTATTGAAGTGTCATTTGCCACGTAGTAGCTTTAATAATTTATAGCAAGCTGAGTTAGTCACTCTAAAACGGGCTGCGCGGAGTGTGCCGAAGCTTTCAAGGGGGAGATTTGCAGATCTCGAATAACTGTGAACGCGGCAGCAAGGAAATTCCACAGCTTTGCACCACAAGTTCTGTACTATTTAACAGAAGTAAAAGAGGACGTAATAAAATGGTTTGAATGATGTATCTTGAAGATAGTTTCATACAAATATGGTTTTTCTATTTACAAAGCAAGTCTTTAATGTTTCATTTGTGCCAGTTGACTCAAATACTCAGTGCCAAACCCTCAGATGAAATACGTTATTTATCATATTGTATGACACATCTGCTCACAGGTATTGATAGATTTGTGATCAGGTAATGCGTCGCTCTCTGCCAAAGTCGGTTCGAATTTTAAATCATATGAATTGTGAAAATGCGAAGGGGTTAGGGAGGTCGTAGTAGTAAACTGCATAGTAAATTTTAAGAGATGACAGTTGAAACTTTTCGAAAATATTGAAAATTAGCCACAAAATTTCTTCAAACAAAAATGTATTCCATATTCACGAAATCCACGACTTTAAATTCGTTTCAAGGAAAATAATAAAAGTTGGCCTATATTTTAGATTGTCTAAATTATTAAGTATAATATTGTTTAAGTTGCAAATGCATTAATAATATATGGAATGGTTTATTATTACTTTATTATTATTATTATTATTATTATTATTGCACCAGAAAACACACATAATAACTACCGACAGAACGTTAGAAACATCATATCCTTTGTCACTCGAGAATTTCAGACCGAAAATTGCATTACTAAATTTTCATTCAAATACTCATTTGATACAATAATATAGCCTCAAACACGTTTGGCCCTATATACTCTATTCAGTTACAATATAAGTTATCACGACACTTGTATTGTGGTGAGGATTCGCAATTGTTAATTCTTCCCCTGAACTCTCTTGTCCATAAAAGCAGCAAATAACAAGAAATGAAGACACGGGGAAAATAACGATGAAAGTCATTTTCAATACTCTGAGATATTTGAGTTTAATGTTATAAATTATTTAATGATGATATTTAATGAACAATGAAAAAATCATTGATTTCAAAAACAATATTATCTGTTCTAAAAACGCTTTTATCACGAGTATGTTTTATAATTTTATTTGTTATAACAATGGATTAATGATACCAATGAGCATTTAATGAATGTTGATGAATCTCCATTTGATTCTTATTTCATAACAAAAATATTCAAACTTTTGATTCACAGAAAACAACAAAAACGAAAATTTAAAAAATGACGAAAGTACATAGATTAAGGAACGTTCGTTTACGTTCTGAAGTTACTTCTTTAATTTAGCGTGCGGTCTATAGCCTCGGACAGGATCTTACATTTGAGCAGCTCTGATTTAGAACATACTATTTTCGAAAACCTCCAAAGATCGAGTAACAATGTAGATATACTTCGATTTATTCGTAGTGTGCTTTAACAGATCATTAGCTGTTCCGGGGTCATTTACTCGGGAGCTTAAAAGTCCCCATAGTGACGTCATTTAAGTTACGTACAAGCTCCTGAGTGGATGACACCGTAACTGCTGATTTACGCCAAAGGACTCTGTGTTTAAATTGCAGCGTAGATGAATGGCGCCAACCGCAGTGGGGAGATGGTGCTCACGTGTGGACGCAGCCAGGCAGCGGCGGCGGCGTGGTGGCATAGCACGTGCCAGCGCGCGGGGAAGTCGTCGTCCACGAAGAGCGCGGGCGGCTCCTGGCTCCTCTTGCCGCACGAGCACGCGCACTCGCAGCAGCCAGATCTCTGCACCGCCGGGCTCGCTGTTTCCTTGGGGGTCATTGCCGCGTCACTGCGCGCGCCGGCTCTCGAGCGGCTATAAACGCGCGCCGCCGTCGGCCCCCACTCCGTCGCACGGCCGTCCAATTGGCCCCTCCCGCGCTTGGTTTGGACCTCGTCTGTTTCGGCCGCCTCTTCTCCATCCTTCTCACCGGCAAAGACGATTCACTGATGTCACTGCAGTGCCTCCTACCGGGATGTCCTGGGTTCGAGTCCCGATGACGACAGGATACTTGCCAGACAGATAGGCAGAATTCGCCGCTGTCTAGAGGAGAAATCTAGTGACCGGGTGTCTTGGTCGGTAGGTTTATGTGTTTTTTTTTTCTGGTCAACATCAAACGAATGCCCGAGCAGTTCCGTAACAAACGGGTCACGCCTCGTGCGCGATCTTTCCTTCCTCTTTCTAGACCTATCCGCTCCCTTACTTGCACCCACACATACATGCACCACACCACCACACATGTCGGGATACCAGACGGGAGCTTATTGCTTGTCCCGGCTGGGGCGGTGCCATGCTGTTGTGAGACATCTGGTTAGGGAAAATCTTTGCAAGCCGACGAAGGTCGGCGACGGATCTCATCTGCCAGTGAGGAGTGATCACCACCACCTCCCACGATGGTATCATTTACTACATCCAGGAAAGTAATGATTTTAGTGGTTGGCGTGCCCAGAATAACTAATCAATCCATCTTTCTCCTTCCTTGCTCCGACTCCTTCGCCCTGTCTCCAAAATCTTCCCTCTCATCCTGTTCTTCGCCCTTATTTTCCTTCTTCTCTCTCCTTGTCCCTTCTTCTCCTCCTTTTCCTCCTCCTCCCCTCGTCCCCCATTGCCTTGCTCGAGCCCGCTGTGGGGCCACGACCGTGGTGGGTGGTGCTGCGAGGAAGGTGACGCGCTTCCCGCGAAGTGAGCAGGAAGACCTCGCCCTTCGGACCGGGCCGGACGGACGACATATTGCGTCAGCGCCGGAAGCAGCGAAAGCTATGGAGGGGGAAGACGCATCGTAACATTTTTCAGATTCAATTAAGTAACATCTGTTCGAATTAAGTATGTTTCATTGCATTGATGCATTCATTTTTTGTACAATACCAGCAAAACGGATAATGTATAAACTTGTTTAATGTTTGCAATTTCTACCCTCTTATTTACGATAATTTTCTTATTCTACTTAACCCACTCACAAAATGTACATAATACTCCATATTTTGATGTGGTATAATATTTGTGACGATTGAACGTGAAATGTAGACTGTAGTACTTAACAGAAAATTAGACAACAGGATCGGTGAAAATAAGCATTACTACACACCACATGTTATCAGTTATTAGGGTTTTGATATTACTTTAATGAAATGTATACGTTATATATCTTGTTTATGGTCGACGCAGATCCTTTTACGTCGTTCCGCGAAACTGTTATAAAGTGAGACATTTTTATGAGAAAAATCTAGACATAATTCATTGTATTTTTTACTGGAAATGTAAAATTAGTTTTTCATTGCACCGTTTTAATCTCAAAAGCTTTCTCCTAACACGACTAGTCCTCTTTTCTCTTCAGAGATCCAGGACATACCTCACACATCTGTTCCTACCCTCGCCTATCCACATTTCACCTCTAGAATAGAATAGAATGGAATGGAATGGAATGGAGTGGAACGGTTTATTTTGCTACTGATGAATACACGGGATATTTCAGGTGCTAGTATTTTCTAAGTAGTAACTACAAATACACAACACAAAGAATCAAGGAAACATTACAATATTTACATATTACTTAATACAATTTCACAAGTATATTAAACCTACCATGCTAAAGCTGATGTAATATAAAATAAAAATAACAATTCAAAAACATGTAATGTTAACATATTCTAAAAAAATTACAATTTATTTAATCTAATTTAAACATTTTGAACATTCTGAGGGAAAGTCTCCAGCACTGCTGCAAGCAATTCGTTTCAATTTTGTATTGTTCTTTTAACAAATGAGACTACCTACATCTGTTCTCTGTTTTCTTCGCCGAATTTTAGAACCATGATCCTTCCGCGCAGCGTATGTAGATTTTGATAATTTTGTGTGAACTTCCCTCCCGGACAATCACCTCGTATTGATTTGAATAACGCACAAAGACACGATTTCTCTCTGCATTTCCCAAGATATAAATTCAGAATTAGAACGTCATGTCCTCATACATTTTGTGGCATATTTTTGTAATTTTTCGAAGGATTTTATTTGCCCTAAACAATATTGAGCCATATTCCAATATCGGACGTACTAGAGATGTACCCTAATTCCCTTGATTTTTCACTTCCTTTCCTAAGCACTCTAATCACAAAGTGTAATGTTTTCCATGTCTTTTTCATTACATTTTTACATATTTACGTTTTCTGTCCACCCCAGATCCTCGTTTAGTACAATTCCCAAATATTAACAGCATTTAACCCTCGTAATATACTGATTTCCCAATTTATATGGGATGCCATCTCTCTTTCTAGAACGCGCAAATCTGATAAACTTGCACTTACTGGGATTTAATTTCATTTCATTTGTGGTAGCTCATGATTCTAGCCTATTTAAATCAGCCTGCCATATTTCTCTATTACGTGTGTATTTAATTTCCCGATATATTATACAGTCATCTGCAAATGTCGTATATTTGATTATATTCCCTGCCAAATATCGTTAATATATGTTGTAAATAACAATGGACCAGGGGCACTTTCCTGTGGCACTCCGGACGTCACCTTCGAATAGAAATTTGACTCAATTCGCTCCCGTTGAGCTGAGAAATTCTCGAATTCAGAGAGTTTATGTCTATGCTAAGCTTACTAATTTTTGGATTAATTTATTACGACGAACGAGGTCGAACGCTTTGTTGAAGTCTATAATAATTGCGTGAACGATGGAACCTTTATCAAGAGATTCTGCAATGTTCTGACGGACAGTGCGTGCCTGACACTCATCCGAATATTCTGTTCTGAAGCCATGTTGCCCTTCGTAAATGTTTACCTATTTTGGCAATTATTTTCCTAAGTGCTCTCGAATTTAGTACAAAATGTTCTCTTTTGCATTCGTGTACAACGCTCTTCCTTTTGTGTGTATAAACTAACGCGAAAATTGGTTAAATATATTTACTTTTGTTTCTTGTCTATACAAGAATTTTCCTATCGCTTTCCTTGCCCCTGTTCCGTCCTCCGCGCCGCTCCCTGCCGCCTTCTGCGCTCCTTCCCCTCGGCCCTGTTCTCGCCCCCCGGCCCTCCCTACTTTTCTCTTCTCGTCGCGTATGCCCGGCAGCGTCGTCGGCGCCTTCTGCCTGGTCCCGCCGGGCCGCGCGTGCCGTCTCGCCCCCCTGCCCCCTCTTTCCTTGCTCGCTCCGGCTGCCCCTGTCTCTGCTCCTGACCCCGCCCCCCCCTGCTTCTCCAACCCGTGGACTCTCTCTTCCCCTCCTCGCCTCGAGCCTTTGCCTGGCGCTCCTCTCCGGTCTTGCTGCCTGCGGGTGCCGGCCACGCGCGGTTCCTGCCCTGCGCCCGCTTCGCCTCGCCCTTCTTTCCTCCGCCCCTCTTTTCTTCCGGTCCGGCTCCTTCTGCGCCGCCTCCTTGCGCCTTACGGCGCACCCCGTCCCCCCTTCCCCCCTTGCCCTTCCCGCCTCCTGCCCGCCCCTGCCCGCTTTCTCTGCTCCCCCTGTCCACTGGCTCCTTTTCCGCCTGCCCCCCCTCCTGCTCTGGCCCCCCTTCCCCGCTTCGTCTCCCTCCGCCCCTTTCTCCCTCTCTCCGTCCCGTTGTGGTTCCTTCGTTTTCTCCCCCCTCTCCTTCCGCCCCGTCCTTCCCTCTTCCTCGCGTTCTGACTGTGCCCCGCCCTCCGTTTCCTTGGCGCGTGCCCTGCCATCTCTCGTCTTCCCGGTTTACTCGACCCGCCCGTGCCTTGTGTGTGTTGCGCTCTCTCCGCCGTCCCGTCTGGTCTGCTCCTGTCGGGTGGTGCTGGCCCCCCTGCCTCACTCCGGCTGCCGCGCCCCTGTGGCTTTGCCCTCCTCCTCCTGTCGCCCTCTTTGCTTGATGCCGTGTTTCTGCTCCTCGCCGTTTTCCTCCCGGCCGTCCTTCCTCCGCCCGCCCGGTCCCCCTTTCTCTTCTGCCTTTCCCGCGCCCCCGCCGCCCCTCGCCCCCCACTGCCTCTTCCGCTCTTGCCCCCCCCCCGCCCCCTCCCGGCCTGCGCGTTCGGGGCCCTCCCCGTGCTTGTGCTCGCGTCCTCTGCTCCTTACCTGCGGCCCCGCCCCTCTCCCGGCGCGTCCCTGTGGTGGCCTGCCCACGTGTCCCCGCTGGCGCCTCCTCTGCGGGCCGTGCCCCTCGCTGCGCCCGCCCCGCCCACCGCCGCTTTCGCCTTTGCTGCGCCCGCCCTCCCTGTGCTCCCCACCTGCCCTGCCTGTTTCCTGCGCGGGCTGCCCTCTTCCTATCCCCCTTTTTCTTTCTGCCTTTTCCTCTCCTTGCACTTGTCCTGTCCTGGACTCGCCTTTTCCCTCCCCGCGCCTGCGCCTCCCCCTCCGCCCTCTTTTCCCCTGTTCCCCTTCGCCCTCTCTTTCCCCTCCCGCCCCCTCGTTCCGTGTCTCGCCCTCTTCCCCCCGCCCCGCCCCCTCGCCTCCTTTTTCCTTTCTTTGCGCCCTCTTGCCTCCCACCCCCCTGTTGCCGTTCTTCCTGTCCTTTGTCTCCCCTCGCTTCCTTCCGTCTCTCCTGCCTCGCCCCTGCCCCTTTGCCCCTTCCCCTCCTTGGTGCCCCCCCCTCCTCTTCCTTCCCCCCCCTCCTGCCCCTCGCCCTCCCCTCCCCTTTCTGCCTCCCCGCCCTCACCACCCCTGTTTTGCCCTTTTCCCGCCTCCTCTCTCCCTCTTGGTGTTGCCCCTCGACTCCCGCGCTTTCCCGTCCTTCCTCCCCTCTTGTTCCGGCCTTCCTGCTTTTTCCCCTTCCCCCTTCCTTCTCCGGCT